TGGAATTTTAATGGCCACCACTTCAATTCACACATGCCCACCCACATTTACTAAATCTTGTGCACTTGGCACACCCACCTCTCTTTTGAACCCATGCATCCCATCCAGACCATAATAATTTTCTTGCTTTTCTTCCTTAATAGGTTTGCCTTTGTCAAATTTGAAGATGCTGATGTCTGTGCTGAAGTAATGAAGCAGATGAATGGAAAATCGTTCAAAGGTGGCAAACTGCTTGTTCTTTATGCCAGCTTAGTAACGAATAGTCAAATCTCAAAAGGAACTAAAAGAAAGACAGAAACCGCACCAGGTAAGTGGAGGCTTCTTCTGTCACTTTTCTTCTTTTTTATTAAATCTATATATACATTCGTCCTTAACAGAATTGTCTAAAATCTTTTCCTTCGTTTCTCAAAACCTGGCAGGATTCTATCATTTAGCTCACTGGCTTTTTACTGAAGTCATTTATTTCCCTCTTGTTGAAAGTTTCACTGTGGGGGCCCCCTCCTCCTTTCCCTCTGAAATTTGAAGATGGATATTCTCCCTGAGTTATTAGATAAAGATAATTTTAGTGTGGGTTGGTGAGGCTCATGGTAATTTTCTGCATCTTGATAATTGTTGATGATGATGATGAGGAGGACAAAGAATAATAAATGTGCAAGTAAACAAAACTGATCCAGGGTTAGGGTTGTATTTTGTCTCTACAACCTCTTCCATTGTATAGCCACCAATCAAGACTGTCATGTACACAACCATTAAAAGGTTCTTATCATCTTTCACAATTAAAGATTTTATAACAAAATTAATTCAACAAATATTTGATTTATTTATGCACAGTTTTTATCTTTATTTTATTTATTTATAATCCGACATTTCTTTAAACATTTTGTGGATACACATTTTTGAGTGGATAGAAAAAAAGATGAAAAAAATTACAACATGAATGTATGAAACAGAAGACTGAAAAATTATTTTTTATATATATGAATTTGAAGGTTTTGTTTTCTGTTTTTGAAACATGGTAATTCCTGTGTAGCGATGAAACCATATTTTTCAATCAGTTAATTTAAAATATTTATGCTCTGTAAATTTACATTGAGCACTATTTTGTAAAAATAAAAATATCAATAAGAATGCCGGATTATATATCTTACTGTTCTTTTTTTTCACTATAAAATATATATATATATACATATATAAGCCAAAGAAAATGCAAGCACATTTACACACTTTGATTTCCACAAAATGTTTAAAGTGATTGTGTGTATTATATATTATTTTGCATTTATTTGTTTATTTTTATATATATATATATATATATATATATATATATATATATATAAAAGAAATATAGTCTTAAGATGTGCTATATTTATGGGATAAAGTGCTCAATATCAGAGATAGAGTGTGTGTAAATATAAAAGTGAATATAGAAGTCAACACTTAGAGGTGACAGTCTGTTTCATGCTAGACACAATCGTCAGGTGGCCTGACGATTGCATCTAGCATATATATATATATATATATATATATATATATATATTTATTTTTTTTTTTTATTTTTAAAACTTTTCAATCTATGCAAGGTGGGAGTGCCACTAGTACATAATGGGTTACAGAAAGTGGGTGCAAGAATAAAGTGGCGTGATAGAGGAAAAGGATGAAGAGAGGGACCGGGGAAAGATCAGGGTATCTGGAGATGTCAATTGACATTGATTTGAATAGTTGGAGACTATAGCTATCAGGGAAGTAAGTAAGAAGAATGGAGGAGAAGGGATATATATATATATATATATATATATATATATATATATATATATGATATCATCCACATACAGGCCTGTTTTGCTATATCATAGCTGATCAGTGTGGCTAGACATCCGATTGCCTTAAGCCAGGATTGAAATATTTATAAAAATAAATAAATGACTTTTTATCACTCATGCTCCCTCCTATGATAATCAAAATGATATCTACATACAACATGATGGTGTTTCTATGGGTTCAATTCTAGGACCAACATTTAGTAACTTCTACATGGCTAACCTTGAAAATAAGATATTTCATACCACTATAAATCTACCTAAGATATGGAGATAATATTCTCATTGTAGTTAAAAACATAGATGAAATACATGAACTACAGAAAGACTTTATCCTTTAAGTTCACATACGAACTTAACAATAACAACAGAATTCCTTTTCTAGAGATATTTATAGACACAATTTACTATGTCCCCATATAAATGAGACTGAATGAAGTACACGTCCCTAAAGCATCAGCTTCACATTTCCTTGCTTCTGTCATCAGCTGTAGTAGCTGATAGAGCCTATGAAGCCCCTCACTGTCTTAGGCTCAGGCATTACTATCAATGGGTTCACCAGTCTTGAAAATGCTGGGATAAGCCTTCTGTAGTAGCTGATAAAGCCTATGAAGCCCCTTACTGTTTTAGGCTCAGGCATTACTCTCAATGGGGCCACCAGTCTTGAGAATGCTGGTATAAGCCTTCTGTAGTAGCTGATAGAGCCTTTGAAGCCCCTTACTTGCCCTAATGTTTTAGCTTCAAGCATTACTCAATAAACCCCCTTTTTTTCTATATCAGGCTTAGCCCTATCCTTATCGATGATAAAACCCAAGTACCCTCTCAGGAACTGAAACCTTGGCAGTTTCAAATCTAATTTCTAAAGCATGTAGGTGAATGGGCAGAATTTATTCTAGTCATTAATTTTAATTCTCAAATTCCTTTCTATTTCCCTGGAATTATCTTTGTCCAGTGAAAATATAAACCAGATCACTTTTCTTGCCCGCCACTTGTTTTCATAACTCCTGCATTAATTGTATATCCAATCTGTAAGGAAAACGTGTTCTCATTTAACCTTCTGAGTGGGAGATAAAATTATTTCCCAATTTATTTTCATCCATGAAAATATACTCCAGACCTTCCCTGACCTCATTAACGATATTTGTTTTCTTAAATTCTCAAGGAAGAGAGGAAATTTCTTCCTCAATTTGTTTCACTCACATGCCAGATTCTCAATAGATAAAAAAATAAATTCTTGGTGCATCGTTCCAATTCGTAAAGGTGTGACACTTCATTAACCACTTCATGACCTCAGTGTCTCATCATAGCTCTTAAATATAAGATTAGAGTAAGGGGCATCCAGAATTAACACCGTTTCTGGCAATTAACGGAAAGATTTAAAACATCCAACTGTGACTAAAATCTGCTCATCATAGTTGTTGCCCATTTTTGGTGTCAAAACATTTCAAGCCTACATAAGCATCGATAGAAATTACATGTAACAGGTAATGCATTTTATTTGCAAAAGCAAAATGTAGAAGAAAATAAAGGGTGTTCCAATAACTTGGACCGATTTTAAATGTGAATTAAGTTTAAGCATCTAATGATTTTTTTTTCTTTCAGATTTAACAACTTAACCATAAAAAGATTAAGAATCAAACAATGTGTTAAAGTTATCGAAGCCAGTTATGAAAATGGATGTTCAAACAGAAATACATTTCATGCACTTTGCTATTTTTTTGGGTCAACATAATCGACACCCTTTATAAATCCTGCTCTTAGTGTCTATCTTGACTTGTCAAGTTAAACTTTCACCAATCCTCAAATTCAGCTTCTGGTTTTTTTTAATAAACCACTTCATTAATTAAGGCTTATTTGCCTTTAAAAATAAATCAGTTTGCATTCTCATAATTTTGTGACAGTCAAGGGAGGGGATGGTTTCAAAGCCCACCTTTCCTTGGATCAATACTAGTCCCATTTTAAAAATTTGTCTTTCCATTTGTGGGCCTAGGGACTCCTGTTGAGAATCACCTGTTATAAATGACAGGTTGGCTCTATAGATGTTGAAGGAACATGAATGTTCTCGACCAGACTTTTTTTACCGTTTCTAGGCAATATGGCATGATCATCAGATTGAACAATGCCAGTATACACAAGTCCTCGGTCACAGTGACTTCATGCTGGCTCAGTCATCAGATTCTGAACAGTTCTGGTTACCAATTTCATACTCAGCTTTTTGTCAAACTGTGTTGTGCTTTTCAAACACTTCCAAATAGTAGCACATGCCAGGATCGTCTCTTGAGGCCATTATCATCATCATCATGAAAGCCGCATTGCTACCCTGGTCAAATTAACCTTCATCATGCTGTATGTGACTTCATTTGCTGTACTAAACATCTATCCTGCCATCCCTAAACAATAGGGTTTGAATGTCATAGTTGTGTTGTCATATCCTGCTATGGCAACCGAAAACAACTTTGAGTGAAATTGACAATAAGGATGCTGCAATTGAGAGGCTTTGTAAAAAGAATGCCGTCAAAAGGGAAGAAATATTATTAATGCAGAGTGCTAAATGTTAACCATAGTGAGATTTGAACCCCAGTTTCATGGTCAGAATGCAGACTTTCTTGTCACGTCCCCAATCAAGTTTCTGTATAAATCTGATTGATTGTTGGTTTTGAGAGCAGCAAAATTCTGCCCTGAAACTAGCTGGTAGATATCGTGTGATGAATGTGGCCATATCTGCTTTTTGAAGATAGGCCATAAACGTATATACGGAAACATCCCCATCTACCATTATGATACCTAACAGAACTTTTCAGGTAACCTTTGTAATAAAATATGATGGTCAGCCATTGGACTCCTTTGGCTTCATAAAAGTAAACATTTAGATAATCTGGTTGCTGTCAGGAATCTCCATTATCCGATGCAGGATCATTTGCAAGTCACTTGAAGATCTTATGAACAATTTAAGACTACAAGGACATCCCTAAAATGTCCATTTAAGAGTTATGAATCCTGAGGGTGGTCTACACTCTGTTAGGAATCAACTTCTAGCATGTATATTGATGAATTTAAGTCGGATTTATTTAATGCTGGCTATTTTGTATCATTTTGGATCCATATTGAAAAAAATGTTTTTGGTATTTTGTTGTTTTTGGCTGTTAAACTGACTAGAAAATAATTTTCTACTGATTGTCTATTATGTGGGTGACAGACTTATCAATTATTTTCTTCTTCTCTGCAGCTGCAAAGAAAAGCAAGGGAACGTCAGCTGCCACATCTGAAACCCTGGCTTCTAAAAAAGAATCTAAAGCTCTGGAAGAATCTAAAGATGCTGAAATGCCTCTAACCAAGGAAAGCAGCGTAGTGCCTGTGACCAAGGAAGGCGCTGAAATGCCTCTAACCATGGAAGGCGCCGACGTGCCTCTGACCAAGGAAGAAGGCAAGGTGGTCTCAAAAGAGTCCTCTAAAAAGGATAAGCAAACTGTTGTGAATGCTTTACTTGGTCCACTTGAAAAAGAAGATCTAATAAGTAAGTGTGTGTTTTTATATATATATATATATATATATATATATATAGTATAACAATGTAATTTTTTTCGAGATATCTGACTATGCTGACAGGTTTTTTGACCATTCAGGAAGTTCATGTTTATATGTTTGCGTATAAAACACAGTCATGTGTCTGTGTTTGAAACTTGGATTTTCAATTTAGTGAGAATGTTGGGGATGGTAGGTTCCATAGTTAAAAGGTCTGGGTGGTGCTGGTGATATACTTCTAAAGTTAATGCATTGAATTCTGTGTGACACAGAGGTCTTTGATAAAAGAAATTCTAGTTCAAAATGAGACCAATGTCAATGTTACCTGAAAGAAATTTGAATATTCTTGCAAAATGGTCTCTTATGGTTTATGGAATTGAAAAGACAGTTTCAAATTGGGTGTTGGGGGATGTTCTGTCTTTTTTTCTAAAATAATTTTTTTTGTTTTTTTTTCTCTTTAAGAGTTGCTCAATGAAAGGGATCAACGAACTTTACTTCTTAAGGACTTACCGATTGAAATCCAGGAAGACGCTCTCATGAAATTGTCAAAAGATATTCAACATGTTCATATTCACATACAGGTTGAAAGTGACCCCTTCAAAATTGCATGGTTTGTGTTTTTTTTTTTTGTTTTTTTTGTTAAATGTTGTCCTTTGCTTCAATTTTAAATTCTCAAGTAGTTAATAACATTGTGATTTTTAATTGAATTGAAGGCAAGGAACCTGTGTAGGTTCCAATTGATAGTGTGTTGCCTCTGATATTTCTAGAAATCAGTTTTATACTTATTTTCAAGCCATGTTAATGATACTCCTCTTACCTATTCTGCATCCTGTTCTCACTATTGACCTTGTGCCAGACAGCTTTGTGATTATATGCTGACTCATTGAATAATTAATGTGTATGCACATCTCAGGTAGACCTCATTAAAATATTCAGTATTATTGCAGTCTTTCAAAATATTCTCATCATTATTATTTGAAAATTTGGGTATATATTAAAGGCGCTGTTCAACTTTGTCAAAGAAGCATACAATAACCTTCAGGTTTAAATCACATCAGATCTAATGAGAGTTTTTCTCTAGGGTGTTGTCGGTTTAAATTCTGTGGGAGAGTGCATATTTTTCTCTCATGAGATTTCTTGAATTGATAATAATAATACTCAAAGATTCTTAAAATATATTAATATTTTCTGGTTTTAAATCACCTGAAAAAGATCAAGCCAACAAAAAAACCCCCAAATCAATTCATTTTCTTCCTGATGTTTTTATTCCTCAATTCAAGATTTAGGAGCTAAATAAGTGAATTGAGAATATGGAATTTTTTTTTTTTTTTTTTTTTTTTTTTTTGAATGTGTTTAAAAACACCCATGTGAAAGAAATAGAATCTATTCAGAAATAAGGATATTTTTTATTATTTTTTTTTTCATTTTACCACAAGCAAGGTGATAATATGACTAAGCTACAAAGGGCTACTAGGAGTGAAAGGAAAAATGGCTTTCAAAGGAACTTAAAACAAGGTTCAAAAGACCTGGGAGGAGTGTAAACCAGATGATAGGCAAGCCTATTTATTCCTATTACGGAAGGAAAAAATAAATAACATTTCAGGGTTTAGGTGGTGACATTAGAAGTATAGAGTTGAAGTAGACTTTAGAAGGAACCAGAAACCCAATCCTAAAGAGGAAACAACGGATAAACCTCTACTCCTATTCAAAAAACCTATCTACTCCTACTGAAGGAAGAAAATAAATAAATAACATTTCAGAGTTTAGGCAGAGACGTTAGAAGTATAGAGTTGAAGTAGACTTTAGAAGGGACCGGAAACCCAATCCTAAAGAGGAAACAAGGGATAAACCTCTACTCCTGTTAAAAAAAGCTGCCTACTTCTGCTGAAGGAAGAAAATAAATAACATTTCAGAGTTTAGGTGGAGATGTTAGAAGTATAGAGTTGAAGTAGACTTTAGAAGAAATCAGAAACCCAATCCTAAACAGAAAACAATGGATAAACCTCTACTCTTGTCCAAAAGACTTTGATGGCATGTAAACTGGACAATAGGCAATCATATCTATTCTTAAAAGAATTGGAAAGGAATATAAACAATTATGTGAATCCTTGGAACACCTATATCTGTGTGATTTTTATCCCTACCTTGATCATTTGTCATATGCCCGATGGATAGGATCCTGAAAGTCATGATATGTAGATGGGCATAGAGCTAGTCATTTCTTGATGTTACATTTTTTTCATCTTTTATTTCCATGTCAACCAGCAGTGGTCCATTCTCTTTTTTTTTAAGAATGGAGACATAAGCATGGGGTAGGCATTGTTCGATCAGTGGAAAGCTAGGTGACATGTCCCGGAAAGGGATATATTTGAACGAAGCTAAGTGGTTTTGGCTACTATAACCAAGTAGAATACAGTAGCAGTAATCAACTGGTATGCGTCATAGTTGCAGGTAAGAAGTGTAGATCCAATGGCATAGTCCAATGGGCATCGTTATAGACTTAGCTCTCAGACTAAGGCTCTGACTCTCGTACCTACACGTCCGTCGATATTTATGACGGACACCAGCCAATCATATTCCAGTGAGGGGGAACACAGGTATACGCATCTTCCATTATATCACTGGGTTAGGGTTCTGTTGACTGTTTATGTCTTGTCTCATTTTGAACCCATGATTGGGAACTAGGTCAGAAACTGATTTACCAACATGTAGAGGGGCTTATTTTCTGCGAAAATGGCAAAACGGAATGGTCTACTTGAAACGAAAATGATTTTCAAGTAGACTATTTTTGTAACAGATTTTCTAACTGCCATTTTAATTTGCTACTAGCTTTACGTTTCATAACTCAAACATCTGACAGACGTCAAAGAATAAATGTTTTAATACCCTCACTCTCCTACTGTCTCCCTACAGTTTTAGAAATCAAGGTTTACAAAGTTGGCTTGAATTAATAAAAAAAACTGGGGTGTGGTTGCAAAAAAATTGTCTGTTTGTCTTATCTTTTCTTTTTCCTATCACAAATGGTGATGGCAGTGAGGGTGCAGTTTATCATTTCAGCCAAATTTTAGGAATTAGACTTTTTTTTCAAAAATTACTATTTAATAATTTTAATAATGTGACCGAACGATAATGTAGCCTTTTGTCTCTAGATGATTTTGGGGTGCTATTTTTCTGTAAGTTTTGCCACTTTCACTTTAGCATTCTTTGCAAGGTTTGTCCCAGAAACTTATTAAGTTAAATTAAGGGCCAAAGTATAAGGTATGAAAGCCTATCAAGCTAGAGCAACTTATCTAATGGATGGATATTCCAGTGAGTAAAATTTTTCATTTTCCTTTTATTTTCTTGCTTTAATAACATATATTGTAACACTTTCTCACTAAGTATGATAATGAAGCCAAAACAGAAAACACAGGTGGGTAGGATAGGTGCATAATTCCTAAAACCTAAAACGGAATAATGGAGAATTGGTCCCTCTAAATATCCCATCAACTCCTGCTGAAATACTGCTATCCTTTTCACTGCATTGTTTTTCAAGGTTCCTCTCCTGTACTATTTCATTTCAGTTCTGGTCATTTTCTGTTGCCGTAGCAGGATATGACAACACAACTGCAAAATTTAAACATGCTATCATTTATTCATCCGAGTCATTTAGAGTGGCAGGTTAAAATTTTTGCTTTGCAAACAAAATCATCTCCAGAAGGTTAAAGGTTAAAATAACCTTTTGGCACACTACTATTATTTGATTTGTTTCTCTCGGTCATACTAAACCAGATTTTGAAGTGATGATTGATTTTATAAGATTTATTTATTTACACAGTTACGCATTTTTGGAATTTGAAAACGAGGCTGCTGCTGAAAAGAATTTTAAATCACTGAGTGAGACAGTATTGAAAGGTAAACCACTGACAGTTGACTATACAGGCAAAAAGAGTCTTCATCGGCCAAAAGAACCAAAAATTCTCAAGGAGTTGGATATCATGAAATTGTACATCACTGGATTTCCATACACAACAACAGAAATTGAACTGAAACAGTTGTTCCCAAAAGCAGAGTCTTTGGTTATGCCAATCAAATGGAACACGCAAAGGCCACTAGGGCAAGTATTTGCAACTAGTATTTCACCTCTGGTTTTATTTTTATTCTGAATTTTTTTTTTTTTTTTTTTTTTTTTTTTTTACTGCTGCTATGCCATTTAATTTCCTGTTTCTTTGAGAAATTCTTACCATTTCTCATCTCCTCCATCCCATTATTTTCACACAATGTACCCCCTTTTCTTCCTGACCAATCTTAGTGTCATTCGGATTAGTACAATAGTGGATAAGGGATTTGCCAGATGACTGATGGTCATGCTAGAATTTTCTTAATCCAGCAAGGGGGCCCACTTCATCGTCTAAATTGGCAGATACCAGTTAATAAGGAAATAAAGCAAATGGAATTTTAATGGCCACCACCCCAATTCACACATGCCCACCCACATTTACTAAATCTTGTGCACTTGGCACACCCTCCTCTCTTTTGAACCAATGCATCCCATCCAGACCATAATAATTTTCTTGCTTTTTTTCCTTAATAGGTTTGCCTTTGTCAAATTTGAAGATGCTGATGTCTGTGCTGAAGTAATGAAGCAGATGAATGGAAAATCGTTCAAAGGTGGCAAACTGGTTGTTGTTTATGCCAACTTAGTAACGAATAGTCAAATCTCAAAAGGAACTAAAAGAAAGACAGAAACCGCACCAGGTAAGTGGATGCTTCTTCTGTCACTTTTCTTCTTTTTTATTAAATCTATATACATTTGTCCTTAACAGAATTGTCTAAAATCTTTTCCTTCGTTTCTCAAAACCTGGCAGGATTCTATCATTTAGCTCACTGGCTTTTTACTGAAGTCATTTATTTCCCTCTTGTTGAAAGTTTCACTGTGGGGGCCCCCTCCTCCTTTCCCTCTGAAATTTGAAGATGGATATTCTCCCTGAGTTTTTAGATAAAGATAATTTTAGTGTGGGTTGGTGAGGCTCATGGTAATTTTCTGCATCTTGATAATTGTTGATGATGATGATGATGAGGAGGACAAAGAATAATAAATGTGCAAGTAAACAAAACTGATCCAGGGTTAGGGTTGTATTTTGTCTCTACAACCTCTTCCATTGTATAGCCACCAATCAAGACTGTCATGTACACAACCATTAAAAGGTTCTTATCATCTTTCACAATTAAAGATTTTATAACAAAATTAATTCAACAAATATTTGATTTATTTATGCACAGTTTTATCTTTATTTTATTTATTTATAATCCGACATTTCTTTAAACATTTTTGTGGATACACATTTTTGAGTGGATAGAAAAAAATGAAAAAATTACAACATGAATGTATGAAACAGAAGACTGAAAAATTATTTCTTATATATATGAATTTGAAGGTTTTGTTTTCTGTTTTTGAAACATGGTAATTCCTGTGTAGCGATGAAACCATATTTTTCAATCAGTTAATTTATAATATTTATGCTCTGTAAATTTATATTGAGCCCTGTTTTGTAAAAATAAAAATATCAATAAGAATGCCGGATTATATATCTTACTGTGTAGATGTGCTTGCATTTTGTTTGGCTTATATATGTATATATATATTTTTATAGTGAAAAAAGAATTTTTTCACTATAAAATATATATATATATATATATATAAGCCAAACAAAATGCAAGTTATCTACACACTTTTTATTTCCACAAAATGTTTAAAGTGACTGTGTGTATTATATATTATTTTACATTTATTTATTTTATATATATATATATATATATATATATATATAAAAATATAGTCTTAAGATGTGCTATATTTATGGGATAAAGTGCTCAATATCAGCAATAGAGCGTGTGTAAATATAAAAGTGAACATAGAAGTCAACACTTAGAGGTGACAGTCTGTTTCATGCTAGACGCAATCGTCAGGTGGCCTGATGATTGCATCTAGCATATATATATATATATATTTATTTTATTTTTAAAACTTTTCAATCTATGCAAGGTGGGAGTGACACTAGTACGCAATGGGTTACAGAAAGTGGGAGCAAGAAAAAAGTGGCGTGATAGAGGAAAAGATGAAGAGAGGGACAGGGAAAAGATCAGGGTATCTGGAGATGTCAATTGACATTGATTTGAATAGTTGGAGACTATAGCTATCAGGGAAGCAAGTAAGAAGAATGGAGGGAAGGGATATATATATATATATATATATATATATATATATATATATATATATATGCCTGTTGTTTTGCTGTATCATAGCTGATCAGTGTGGCTAGACATCCGATTGCCTTAAGCCAGGATTGAAATATTTATAAAATAAATAAATGACTTTTATCACTCATGCTCCCTCCTATGATAATCAAAATGATATCTACATACAACATGATGGTGTTTCTATGGGTTCAATTCTAGGACCAACATTTAGTAACTTCTACATGGCTAACCTTGAAAATAAGATATTTCATACCACTATAAATCTACCTAAGATATGGAGATGATATTCTCATCGTAGTTAAAAACATAGATGAAATGCATGAACTACAGAAAGACTCTATCCTTTAAGTTCATATACGAACTTAACAATAACAACAGAATTCCATTTCTAGAGATATTTATAGACACCAATGACAATGCGTTTACTATGTCCCCATATAAATGAGACTGAATGAAGTACACGTCCCTAAAGCATCAGCTTCACATTTCCTTGCTTCTGTCATCAGCAGCATAACTTCCATTCTTGGTGAATTTAAAGTTATATATTCTTCCTCAATTTGATATTTTACATCCACCCCTGGTCCCTGTTCTGCACTGGAGCTGCAAATGGGTAAGTTTATCACCTGATATATCTCAAAAATTACTCCTCCTGTCTAACAATGGCAGGATCATGAAAACCAACAATTTGTTATCTTCTTGTAAAGTAGTACAACTTAATGCCTTTTAGTATTTCCCTAAATTTAGTGAGGTTCACTGGCAACCTCAAATGGGGAGTAAACTCTGTTCCTAGTTTCAACAGCAACTCCCTCAAGTGACGAGGCTTCACTATACTCAGGGCAAATATCCCAATGATATGTCCACATGTTCTAACAAAATCAACACAGATTGGCTAGTTTGGTATGCTTTAATAAGAATTATCATTAATTGAAAATACTGCTGGATGAAACTACTTAACCCCTGTAAGTCCATTGCCATAGTGCCAGAGATAATGGCCAACTCTTGTCTCAATTTTTGTATATAACTTAGTAACTCATTTATAGTTATTCTGCTTTCCGCTACATTTAATCTCATCACATTCAGTATTAATATACTTCCTTTTGTCACCTGGGCTAAAATTCTTTTATCCTTTTTCACTGCTTCCAGTTTTTCTTTTGTAATTTTAACTTCTGCTTTGGTCGCTGTTCTGAACCGAATAGAGTTAACGCCTTTCTAACAATGGGGATGACTGTTCTTTTCCTTTTTGGTTTGTTTCCTTCTAAATAATTTTTATGGTGAGATTTGAACCCCAGTTACATAGAATGCAGATCTTTCTAGCCAAGTGCCCTATCAAGTTTATGTATATATCTGATTGCTGTTGGTGATGGATTTGAGAACAGCAAAATTGCTCACACTGAACTGAAACTAGCTGGTAGATATCATGTGATGAATGTGGCCATGTCTGCTTCTTCAGCATCAACCATAAATGTAGACATGGAAACACCCCTATCTACTAGTACTAGAAAAAAATTTTCATATAAATTTTGTAATAAACTATGTAGGTCAGCCATTGGATTCATTTGGCTTCATAAAAGTAAACATTTAGATAATCTGGTTGCTGTCAGGAATCTGCATTATCCAATGCAGAATCACTGGCTTGAAGAGCTTATGAATGATTTAAGACTACAAAAAGGACATCCCTAAAATGTCTGTTTGAGAGTTATGAATCCTGAGGGTGGTTACACTCTGTCATGAGTCAACTTCTAGCATGTATATAGGTGAGTTTAAGTTGTCTTTATTTAATGTGTGATTTCTTGCGGTTAATTTGTATCAGCAGTTATTCACTCTTCTGATTAATGTTCATTTTTAGCTCTCTCTCTCTCTCTCTCTCTCTCTCTCTATATATATATATATATATATATATATATATATATATATATATAATGAGAACTCATGAAAGCAAGAGTTTCATCATGAATTCACTTCTATACATGTCCTGTAGAGAGATCCATATTGAAAAAAAATGTTTTTGGTATTTTGTTGTTTTTGGCTGTTAAACTGACTAGAAAATAATTTTCAAATGATTGTCTATTATGTGGGCGACAGTCTTATCAATTATTTTCTTCTTCTCAGCAACTGCAAAGAAAATCAAGGCAATGCCAGCTGCCACATCTGAAGTCCCTGCTTCTAAAAAAGAGTCTAAAGCTCTGGAAGAAACTAAAGATGCTGAAATACCTCTGACCAAGGAAGGCACCGAAATGCCTCTGACCAAGGAAGGTGCCGACGTGCCTCTGACCAAGGAAGACACCGAAGTGCCTCTGACCATGGAAGACACCGAAATGCCTCTGACCAAGGAACATGCTGAAATGCCTCCTACCAAGGAAGGCACCAAAGTGCCTCTGACCAAGGAAGAAGATAAGGTGTTTCCAAAAGAGACTCTTAAAACAGATAAACAAGCTACTGTGATAGATGCGCTTGAAAAAGAAGTGAAAAGAAGTAAGTAAATATTTAAAAATTTAATTTTTTTGCCCAGTTTTCTGACTATACTGAAAGTTCTTTTGACCAAATCTGGGGGCTCACATTTATCTGCTTGTGTACAGAATGTAGTGATGAACCTTTGTTTGAAACTTGGATTTTTCACTTAGTGACTACGCTGGCTGTGGGGATTTTTGTTGCTTCTCTAAAAATGTGCTAGATTTTCTTCCTACCAGCAACAATGAAAATTTGGTTCTTTGTTTAGAATAATTCTTCCTTTTGATCAAAGTATATACCCTCACCCTACAGCCCCACCTCCACATTTCTCAAACAGTGAGAAAAAGAAAGATGAAGTTAAGCAATGTTGAGTCTGGTCAGTACCTAGATGAGTGACCACTTGTGAATGTCAGGTGTTGGTGTTATATTGGTAAATGGCCTGAAATTGGAACTTAATTTTCTGATTTCCAATTCCAATCATTTACTGTATATTCACCTGTGCACAGATACTCTTGGAGAAATTTTAATTAATTACTTAATTAGTAGGATGTGTTAGTAAATCTTTATCTCCAAAAATATTCTTAGAATGTAAAAATGTTTTCTGGCTTTAAATAACCTAAAAAGGTTGATAGGCCATCAAATTAATGAGTCTAGACTTCTCTGGACTATAAGGCCACAGCCTCACTACAGTAGGTGTTGTTGCTGTAGTTTTTTACAGTGTGTGAATTACTAGTTCCATACTAATTTTAGAATGTTGTCTTTTTCCTAGATTGGTTGCCAAACAAGGCTAGAGGATCTCTCCTGTTTTTTCTTCCATTGTTAATAAGTCTAGGTGGTGGTGGGGATCATACACTTCCCAAGTTAACGTATTGAACTCTGCGACACAGAGGTCTTTGATAAAAGAAATTCTAGTTCAAAATGAGAGTAATGTCAATGCTACCTGAAAGAAATTTGAATATTCTTGCAAAATGGTCTCTTATGGTTCATGGAATTGAAAGGACAGGTTCAAATGGGGGTGGGGAGATGTTCTGTCTTTTTTGCTAAAATAATTTTATTTTTTTTCTATTTTAGAGATACTCAACAAGAGGAACCAGCAAAATTTATTTCTTAAGGACGTACCAATTCAAGTGCCAGGAACTAAAAGACAGACAGAAATCCCATCTGTTATACGGTTGCTTCTTCTATCTACACTTTTCTTTTTCTTTTCTTCTCTCCATACACTCATCTCTCAGCATCGTTGATCTTTGTGCATTTATTTTCAAACAATACGTCTCTTTAGTCATCAGGTCGGGTGGGGGGGAACAGCTGAGTACAAGACCATAAGTTAATAGCATCATATTGTGAAGAAAGGTCTAAAATCTTTTCTTTCAATTCTTGAAAATCAAAAGAAATGGTTTTGATTTCAGTTTCTATCATTCAACTCACTGGTCTTTTATTGAAATCTTTTTTTTTTTTGTTCTTGTTGAGAGTTTTATTGTGTCCTCCCATCCTTTTCCTCTGAAATTTGAAGATGGATATTCACTCTGGGTTTTTAGATAAACAATTTTTGTGTAGGTTGGTGAGGCTCATTGTAATTTTCTGCATCTTGATAGATATTAATGATGTTGAGAAAGATGGCGACAATTATGATGATGATAATGATGATGATGATGATGAGGAAGAAGAATAAATGTGCAAGTAAACCAAACTGATCCAGGGTTGTATTTTGTCTCTACAACCTCTTCCATTGTATAGCCACCAATCAAGACTGTCATGTACACAACCATTAAAAGGTTCTTATCATCTTTCACAATTAAAGATTTTATAACAAAATTAATTCAACAAATGTTTGATTTATTTATGCACAATTTTTATCTTTATTTTATTTATTTATAATCCAACATTTCTTTAAACATTTTGTGGATACACATTTTTGACTGAATAGAAAAAAAGATTAAAAAACAATCCTAATAAAATTTATAACTTATTTTTTTTGTTTAAAAAAAACAAAAAAAACAAACGTCTACAAACTTGTATACCCACAAAATGTATACCCACTTGTATACCCACAAAATTTTTAAAGTATCTGTATCATATATTATCGTATTTTTTATTATATATATATATATATATATATATATATATACACACATATATATATATATACACACACACACACACATATATACACACATGTGTGTGTGTGCGTATATATATATATGTGTGTGTGTGTATGTATATATCTATATATAAAAATAACATAGCTGGCCACTTGTATTCAAGGATAACCGTCTACTAGGGTGGCTAGCCAATCCCTACTGCAGACGCTTGCTCAGGCACATTTGTATTTGTTCTACATCCACAGAGCTAACCTGTGATTTATACTGCAACTATGATGAGCAGACCTTAGATACAGTTTCTGGGAGAGAGTGTGTTATCTATTGAGATCAACAATTTGAACAAGGCCAGCATGCTCAAGCCCTCAGCCATGATGACTTGTGGCTTCATGCTAGCACAGCTATCAATAGCCCCCAAGAGTTCCGTCTACCCAATTTCATTCACAAAGCTTGGGTCAATCCGTGTCAATGCTTTTCAGGCCACTTTCCAAAGATGGCTGGGACTGACCCCTCCAGTCTGATGACATCAGGAAATCTCCTTCCTGACAAATTGGCCATGGTGAGATTCAAACCTGGGTCTCATGGTCAGAATCGAACATTCTAACCACTTGGCCGCATGCCCACATGTACATATATACACACACACAGTGATTTTGAATTTCAGGCTTTTGCGATCATCAGACAAAGGGGGTCATTTTTTTTTAAAAATGGTTCTATTTATGCTTATTTGTGTTTGATTATGTTTGGGAGTGGGGGTGGAATTTTCTTCTCTGTTGGCATGACACTCACATACATAGGCACATACATACAGGTGTGAGCTAAAATGCATTTTTTCTAAGCTCTATACTAAACATTAAATCTGTTACGAAAAAAGAACTAAGCAAAATGAACACAAAACGATCAGCTTTAAAAAAGGACTCGTAACTGGAAAAACCGAATGAAAAAAGAATGTTAATAACAAATACTTTATCACACCATCCCAGTTCTACGGAATCAGAATCAACGTTGTGTTTAAGCAGACGAATGAGCCAATTGGAGTAAAGTGCCATGCAGATTTAAATTTTTCCCACTTGTGACGGATGCAGCTATCGATTTATTTTGCATGCTAGTTAACATTCATGTCAGTCAGCTGTTGGCTCACACACTGGCCAATAGAATCTTCCTGCCTATTCGTGGCAGCCAGCTAGTGGCTCTCACTCTGGCCAGTAGAAAATGGCCGCAAACTACATGAAAACTGCTGTAGAAGCATGAAAAATCGATTATTTCCATTATCGATGGGAGTTGGGAAATGCAAAGTTGTTCTTGGCCTTCCCGCTAACTTGGAGCATGTGCATGTAAATTTTGGTGCAATCTGTCGAAAATTGCAGCTGTGCATTCATTACACACACACACACACACATCCTGGCTTTTATATATATATATATATATATTATAAAATGGACAAAGTCTGACAATTATTTTAAGACATTTATTTGTTCATACATTCTTTTTTATAGATACAAATATTTAAGTAAATGCTCTGTTTATAATAAACAGTATTAACAACATTTACCAGCCTGAATGTCTGAGAAATTGTCATGGATAATATGCGTCCTCCAACAGGAATCTAACCTGTATCCTATATGGAACCGTCATATAGCCTGACGTGCTTTTACCAATTTCGCCACAGAGGAGCATTCGGTTAGCAAGTTCGATTTTACAGTTTTTAAACTACAATCTTCCATGATTTTCTCACGTGCATTCATATCTGCTTGATGTGTATCCAAATGTAAACAAATGACATCAGACATTATGAAATGGACAAAGTCTCATAATTATTTTAAGACATTTTTATGTTTATACATTCTTTTTATAGATACAAATATTTAAGTAAATGCTCTATTTATGACAATTTCTCGGACATTCAGGCCAGTAAATTTTGTTAATACTTTTTATTATAAACAGAGCATTTACTTAAATATTTGTATCTATAAAAAAGAATGTATAAACATAAAAATGTCTTTATATATATATATATATATATATATATATATATATATAAATGACTTGTACACTTGAAGAAGACTGGAGCATACAACAGCCAAAACGTTGTAACAAATATAGCAACAAAGATGAAGACAATAGTCCGAATAATGTAAATAGTGTTCTAAAATCTTGTTTAATTTGTTCATCAACAATGTAATTAGGAAAGTCATTATCAATGAAAGTTTGTTGAATGTTTTTTAATTCGGTGTTGAAATTTTTTTCATGGAACTGAAGATATTAGAAGTATTAACATAAATACTCCCACAAATAATACTATACTTATCAACCTACTATACTGTAGTCAAATACACTCTAACTACAAACAAGATGAAAAAAATCTAAAAAGTACTAATATATCCCCCACTGATCCAAATAAAAAAAATGATACTAATTTTATACTATACTAAATTTAATACAACCAACTTAATCATCTATAATAACTCTTCTCCGTCAAGTAAAGTTTTGCAATAGACCAACATTGTATATCAATTTAAATGTTATTTAGGAGATTGTATCACTGACAAAAATGTTTCTTCTGTTTCAAATTTAGACACCCCCGCCTTACCCTGACTTGACATCTATGAAAGTAACTCTATACTGATACTTATTATTAACACCCAACACACCTCCCCATTTAAACAATTTGCCCTAGCTGTTACCATGGAAATTTTGATTTCACTTATTAAAACACGTAAATTTCAGAAATACGTTATTCCAAAACAAATTTTGCTTGAAGATGGAACAGAGCTTACTTTAACTCAATTTAATTCAAATAATTATATTGAAGTTTTTGACTCTTGTTTTGAAACATGAGACCTCTTATGTCATGAGTTGGAATCATATTTTTAAATAAATAATTATATATATATATATATATATATATATAGTATTGGTACAGCATATAATTATTTAAACTTATATTGTTAAAGTGATTTTCCAAGTGTAACTTAGATGTGGCACAAGGCCTAATGTTTGGGGCACCCACTGAGGATTGAACTCACTATTCAGTCATAATTGTTCTAGCAAGACAAGCTTGCTAACCATTACACTGCCTCGAGGTACCCAACTTATATTGTTGAATATAACAGACAATGAATGTCTGTTATGTCTGGTCATGAGCCGTTCTAACGTTCGTATATTTGCTTTAGTTTCCGGTGAAAATAAAGACAAAAATTGTCCAACATTCAATAAAAATATGTATGCTGTTGGCGCACTGAATGATTTTAAGACCCTAAGTCAGCAGATAGTTCGAAAAAGTTTGCTGACCCCTGGGTTAAGGGACATAAGACGGGGCCTGTCTCTACTCACTTTGTTTATTTTTATTTATACTGAGTTGAACCCAAGATAACTAAATGTCACACCCAGATTTATTTTTTAGTTAAAACCATCTTAACAATATAAGATAGATAGATGAAATAATGTTGATGGCAGGCACAGGAAGGAAACGGCAGGAATTCTTTCACAAAGAGAGCAGAAGAAAATACTAGATATCAATTGTCAGACCATCCAGTGCCATTTGCAAGAATAACAATCCAAGACGTGATCTTGTCAAAGTCAGCCAAGTAGAGAAATTGAGATACCTGGAAAGTATTTTAACATTCAACAGAAACTGTGATGCTGTTATCTGAAGGTACATTAATATACTGAAAGATGTCTTCCAAATGCTAAGCAAAGTATTAAGAAACAAACATTTCGTTAGCAGTTCAGTATTTTTTTGTCTTCCACCATTTCACCCCAAGCAAGGCAATAATGCACAAGGGGTTGCAGTGTTTTAGAAAATATAAAAAAATGAAATTTTAAGGAGACAAGACAGTAAAAGAAGCATTCAAAAGATAACAATTGACATTGCATTTAAATTTTTGGAGATTTAAAATTGGTTCTAGAAAGCAAGAAGCCAGAAGAGAGTTCCGCAAACAAGAACCGACAAATAGAAGAAACTGTTAGCATGCGGTTACATGTAGCTGTTCCAACTGTAAAATGATGAGACCTAGCTGCCAATGTAGTACTGCACTTCATAATGTTGAGGTAACATCAAGGAAAATTCATTGGAACTATTACCATGAAAATATTTATTTAAAATAAAAAAAGGGGAAAAGTGACTGAACCTGATATGCCAGATA